GGTTCGACTCAAGTTCGACTCAGATTCGACTTAGATTCGACTCAGGTTCGAATCAGGTTCGACGCAGGTCCGACTCAGATTCGACTACTCAGGTTCGACGCAGCTTCGACGCACGAGTGGAGCGAGTGGCTCCAGGAAGGTCCCCAGAATGAGCATGCAACGCTGGCCACCTCGAGCCGCCCTGCGGGCGCCCCCCGCGGCCTGGTCGGGGCGGGCCCCGCAGGGTGCACGGGGGCCTGGCGTCGCTCGGGCGTGTGCATCTCTCTCGGCTTATGTCGGGGAAACGCAAGACCCGAGTAACCCGGAACGCGGGTTGCCGACGTTTTTTTGCCGAGCGCGTCCTGGATTTTGACGGTCCAGTTTTCGTGGGATGTCTGCAGCGGGAGCTCGCGTCAAATTTCCGATTGGGCCTCGTCATTTTTATGATGGCCCCGTCGGGCCAACCCGAGTCTCCCGTACCCGAGTCTTGCATCTCCCCGATTATGATGTTCCAACCTACTCTAGCCTTGACCACCAAAACAAAATTTCGAGCACCCAAGAAGTAATCACCGAAACTCGAGGGTTTTCACGTGTTGGGCCCTGGGAGACGCTCGTCCGACGTTGTTTCGACACTGTTTCGCCACTCTATCGACACTTCTCCGGGTGTTCGAACCTATTTCTGGGATGTGGTCCTGACGTACGATGGGAACACAATCGTTCTCGGCGAGGACTATCCGGGAGCATCTTTGGGTCCTCTTGCGACAGGAGTAGACGCATGACCTCGCAAGCTGCACCGGGAGTGGGCGTCCGACCGACGGCGAGAGCGCGGCGAGGAGGCAGCTTCCCAGGGCCCTCCCCCCCCCGCTTCCTCTCTCCAGGGCACGCCCCCTGCGCGCCCAGCGCAGACATCCCCGCAGGCTCGGGCGCTCCCCGCCCGCCCCACCCTGCAGCGGGCGGGGGGGAGCCCTCCCGAACCGGCAATGCCCCCCCTGTCCGCAGAGGGGGCAGGCGCTGGTGGGCGGGCGGCGAGCTCCGCCTCCTTCTTTTGAGAAGGACGGCGCCGGGGTGGACGACAGGGGGGGAAGGGGGGCGGGGGCTCGCTCCCTGCTCCACCTCCTCGCCCCTCGCTGCTTTTACAATTACTCAATATGAATACTACTCTCCCTCTTCCCCTGATGACGGCCTGGGAGTGTCCGACCCCCCCCCCGCGTACTTTTTTTTTTCACAGGTTTCCCCGGAGTTGGGTTTTCGCCTGCATTGTTTTCCAAAATGCTGCTCTCGCTGATGCGCCGGCCTCATTTTCGGGCCCCGCTCGTTCCGAACCGTGCTCCCGCTGCAGCGCTGGCCTCATTTCCGTGCTTCCGCTCGTTCCGAATCGTGCTCCCGCTGCAGCGTTGGCCTCATTTCCGCGCTTCCGCTCGTTTCGACTCGTGCTCCCGCTGCAGCGCTGGCGTCATTTCCCGTGCCATGCCACGGCATGCAATGCAATGCTAGGTTGATACTACGCTTTGCGGTGCTCTTCTACGCCATGCCATGCCGTGCTCTACAATGCATCGCGTACCCTTTCGGGATCATTGCCCTGCTCGACATCCGACTGTGCGAGTAGAGAGGGGATCTGCGCCATGGTAAGGGATGGGAGGGAGGGGTAGGATGTCAGATATGACGCGAGCGCACCTAGCTTGGCATACCCCCTCTCCTCCTCCCCCTCCCTCTTCGCTCGTCTGCCCGTCCGCAATGGCACACGATGGCTACTGGTCTCCCCTCTCCCCTGACGGCGTCCGGAAGATGTCCGGCCCCCCTCCGCGTATTGCTGTTTTTTGGCACGGAGGATTCCTGGGAGTTGGGCTTTCGCTGTTTTTTCTGAATTTTGCTCCCGCTGAAGCGCTGGCCTCATTTTCGGGCTTCCGCTCATTCCGAATCGTGCTCCCGCTGCAGCGCTGGCCTCATTTCCGCGCTTTCGCTCGTTCCGAATCGTGCTCCCGCTGCAGCGTTGGCGTCATTATGTCCAGTGCCATGCCACGGCATGGTTTTCGGTCCTTCCAAATATGCCCCCCCCAAGCTAGAAAACGGCCACCCGACAAAAACCGTCGGAACTGATTGCGCATGCGGTGCCGATTCGTGTTTTTTTGGGGGCCGCAGAAGCCCCCCCCCCCCCACTTTGCGGCGTCGCCACGCTATGCTATGTGATGCTACGCGTTGATCTTCAAGACTACGCTATGCCATGTAATGCTATGCCATGCCACGACATCCGACTGTGCGAATAGAGTGGAGATATATGCCATGGTTTGGAATGGGAGGGAGGGGTAGGACGTCAGATATGACTCGAGCGCTGCTAATTAGCTTGCCCCCTCCCCCTCCCTTCTCCCCGTTCCTCCCTCTTCCTCCTCGTGCTCCTGCTCCTGCTCTTGCTCCTGCTGCTGCTGCTGCTGCTGCTGCTCCGCCTCCTCCTCCTCCTCCTGTTGTCCGTTCCCTTCCTCCACCTCCCTCCTCCCCCCTCATCCTCCTCCTCCGCCTCCTCCTC